GCTCTTTAATCTGACCCAGTTGCATTTTTGCCTAATGAAGAAACATGTGCATGCAACTCTTTGGGTCAGATTTAATTTTAAGATTTCACAGAATCACAGAATCACAGAATCGTTTAGGTTGGAAGGGACCTCTGGAGATCATCTCGTCCAACCTCCCTGCTCAAGCAGGGTCACCTAGAGCATATTGCCCAGGATCACATCCAGACGGGTTTTGAATATCTCCAGCGAAGGAGACTCCACCACCTCTCTGGGCAACCTGTTCCAATGCTCTGTCACCCTCACAGATTTGATCCTTTGGGTTTTTGATCCACACATTTGATCCTTTGGGTTTTGCATTAGAGAGGAGTCTGCAGCCAGTTTTACTTCCATGTTTCCGCCTCTACAAACAGCCAGCAACAGAACATTATCAACAGTCAGGAAAGACAGCTACCTTCAATTTCCTATTCTCCATTGTTTTAAGTCACTTACACTGTGCTTTATACGATAAAATTGAAAATATCATGAGACACATACACACACAAAACTGATCACGAAATAAAAGCACGAAAACAAATAATCACATGAAAAAGGCAAACAATCGTGCAAAACCCACAAATAATCACACAAAAATCCACTACCAATATCTACGCTCTCCAGCCTAACTGGCAGCTGATTACTAACGGTGTTTCGCAGGGGTCCATACCTCCCAGGCCTTCACCTGCAAGACGGGGTGAAGCGTACTCTCAGACAGCTGCGGTCTGTGGAAAACCGGGGGGGAGGAAGTCGACACGCCGGAGGGAAGCTGGGTTGGTTTAGCCTGGAGAAGGGAAGGCAAAAGGGGAACCTTATTGCTGTCTGCAGCTACCTAATGCAGAGACTACAGAGCCAGACTCTTCTCGGACGTGTTCAGCACAAGGAGCGACGGGCACAAGCTGGAACATAGCAGTTCCTATCAGGTACCAGGTAAAAAATGTCACCCTAAGGGTGGTTCAGTCCTGGGACAGCGCCCGGAGCATCTCCATCCCCGCAGATCCTGAAAACTCACCCGCACCGAGCCTGGAGCAACCTGAGGGAACTTCAAATCTGGCCCTGCTTTGAGCAGGGGATCCTCAAGAGGTCAGTTAACCTAGATTTTTCCACGATTCAAATAGCACGCACAAAATGTTTTTTAAAGCCACATTGCTTTTTCTCACCTTTCTGACATATTTTCCATAGTAGCCCTTGGAAGCCTTAAAGAAGAGGTCAGAGTCATTTTACTGCAGAGGAAGCTGAACAATAAGATGAGCGAGCACGTTCCCCTCACTCAGGATGTTCACCGTTGAGTCCCGAATTATGACAAGTGCATGTGTAAAAATCTTTATTAACAGCCTGGTCAAGGCACAGGCTATCTATTCAGTCAGACAAATCACGGTCACTAGTTGAGCTAATTATATACATATCTGGACAAGCACTTTGTCCACACACTTGCTGGTAAAACACACATTTCCCGCAGCCTAGAAACCCACCCTTAACGTGAGACACAAGGGAACAATTCCTGAAAGCAAGAACGATTCAAAATGGTAGCAGATTATTTTCTCTGAACTCTTCCTCCTGATCCCAACTCATTTTTTTAAATCAAAACAAGCTTCCAGAAGCAGTTACAGACGATATTCGGCTCAGGGCTATGTGACAGGCCGCAGGTGAATGCGTTTCTCCTGAAATTTGGAAAACCACCTACTTGTAAAGTGAAAAATGCACCGATAACACAGATATGGAGAGAAAAAAAAAGGCCAATTTTCCTTAATTAGGTGATATTCTGTGTATGCTGTCTGTAGGAATGAGGACAGAGCAGTGGGAACCATCTGACAGCACTGTTGGTGTAACCAGTAGGGCTTGCAGTAGCAGACATCTGGTTTTGAGCCCTGATCCCAATCTACTCCCCAAGGCCGTTCTGCTGGGCTTTGTACCTCGTTCTAAAGTGTAAAAAGCCAAATACATACTTGCTGGGAGCAGGTGCAATTCCATTAATCCCGGAGGTTTGTTTTAAACTCAGTTATTCACCAAAGTTACCGTCAGCCTAGATCTCAAGCAATTCCTTCTGGACTGAATAACTGCAATGGGACAGAAGTGCAAGGAGAAATAAACCCGTTCATCAGACAACGTTTACATACCAGTGGGGCATGGTAATGCTGTTTCCCAGTGCTGGGGCCCAGAAGCATGCCTCAGTTCAGAGCGACTGAAATGGAAAGCACACCTGGCTCCTACTCACTTCACTGCCCTATTAGTCAAGGGCTTGGATACCTTGCTGCATTTTCTCCCTCATGCTTTTCTTTCTACTGTTAACTGTCTTGCATACCAGCAAGTATGTGGATGTGGATCTCCCTGCCTAGAAAGGCAATAACAACAATTTTACTTCTTTTCTTTGAAAGCAGAATCAACTCAAGTTTTACTGCAATAGTCCAAGGCACAGGTCAAACATGGAGGGGGCAAGGGGGGAGAATCTAGAAATGGTCCTCCCTTACGTCACTGCAGACAACAAGCACACACCTCCGTATAAATAAATAACCACTAAGCCATTTCCATTCATGCTTCTAGTTAGTGCAACCTACTTAACATATAGACGCATAATATAGGTCAATTATGTAGGTCGTGAAAAATCCGTGGAGAACTTCAGCCTGTAGGGCTCCAAAAAGACCACGTTGAGGCAGCATTTGCAAAGTTGCAGCTCATTTCTGTGCCTGGCTTGCAAACAGCAGGGAGCACCAACACAGTCCTGCTTGGCTTTTCTTATTCTGTGGTACTACAGCCACAGCTGCTAATGAAACTACCAAAGGCATCCTCCAGGAGAGACCCTCCAAGATGCAGCCACAGAACGTGGTGGGGCTCATCCACTAATATCTATTATGCCCTATCGTAGCCAGGCTGCGGAGTGAGAACAGAATAGCCTCACTTGGTACAATTCCAGAGCGCTTCAGGGTTCAAACTTATTGCCAGGCAATACCTCTAGCTGGAAAAAAAGAAGCCCAGAAGACAAAAAACGTATAACTTCAGATCATAAAGACTAGCAAGTATCATTAGAAAAACAGAGAGAGCTAAAAAGGCAAAGCGGTCGGTGGACAAATAATTTGCCAATATGCCAAAGGCATGGCTTGGCCCTGATTTCTCAAGGAATGAGATTTCTCAAGGAATGAGATTTCTCAAGGCTTATGAGATTGCTTTGTCTGCCTGCTGCCCCTGAGGAACTTTTGAACCCGTTACTAGTTCTGGTTGCTTACAAACCACAGTCTGCGCTAAGTCCTGCCTGGCTGGAAACGTTAGGGGGAAGACACGGGGAACCGCAGTGGAGGGCATCAGAGGAACAGCTGGTGCTGCAAGGGGTTTAAGGCAAATGACAGATCCAAGGCAAAACAAGCTTCATTTCCACTGCTCCGTGGACACCACAGGCTCTTCCGTCGGAGGTTAGCGCTACCTTAGTTTGTTCTTTGAGATAAAGGGAGAAAGCGGATCTTGGACCGGAACCTGAGCTACAGCTGTAATTGCCGTTACCTTTCCGTAATATTCCCAGAATATTTTTCTTATTCAGGTAACATCCACCTGCCACAGGACGTGATTTCCTGGGCCGCTGGTGGCATCGCGCGCACTCTGCGCGCTTGCAAACCCGCTTCCAAAATCCGGAGACGAAGCATCTCAGCGAGTCAAGTCTCTCCCAACTCCGCTGGCGGACAGCATCAGTAACGCGGTTCGTCAAGCAGGTGGGGGGCATCCGGGACAGGAACAGCGGCAGGCGGCGCAGCAAGGGGGGCGCTCAGCAGGCGGCCGC